TGCAGCACTCCAGGTGGGGTTTCATGAGAGCAGAGTAGAGAGGCAGAATCACACCTCTTGATCTGCTGCCCACACTACTTGGGATGTAGCCCAGGACACGTTTGGCATTCTGTTCCATGAGCATACATTGCCGGCTCATGTCCAGCCTCTCATCCACCTGCATCCTCAGGTCCTTCTTAGCTGCTCTTGATCTGTTCACCCCCAGCCTGTATTGATACTGTGGGTTGCCTCAAACCAAGTGCAGCATCTTGCAATTAGTCTTGTTGAACTTCATGAGGTTCCCGTGGATCCACTTCTCAAGCTTGTCCAGGTCCCCCTGGATGGTATCCTGTCCTTCAGGTGTCTACCACACCACTCAGCTTGGTGTCACCTACAAACTTATGAAGGGTGCACTCAATCCCTCTATCTGTGTCATTATGAAGACATTAAACAGCACTGCTCCCATTACAGATCCCTGAGGAACCCCATTTGTCACTGATGTTCACTGGGACACCAAACCATGAGCGCTACCGTCTGCCTGTAACTGTCCAACCACTTCTTTATCCACTGAACAGTCCACCCACCAAATAATGAACTAACAACATATCCCTTTCTCGTTCATGGTAACCCTCATAGGTCCCTATACATATCTTCTAAAAGTTTACCACAGATCATTGTTTGTGCTTAAAATCATGCACATACAAGTCTTAAGAACTGTAGTGACAAACTGACCAACCAAGCTGACTGCCTGAAGCTGAGCCAGAAGTTACACAAGAAGAGCAGACAGAAATCATGGCAGGCAGATCTCCACTACAGTAAAGATTCCACTATTCATTCTTGTTTCACACTGAGCGAGACACAGGTACAGCCAAGGCAAATAATGCCAATGTCAACTTAAGAAGGCAGTCTATTTCAATAGTCTATATTTAAGAGATAACATTAAGTGAAGACTGAATTAATTGCATTAATTATGGTAAGTTTCTCAGGTAACTAGTATGAAACAGCTGCTCACAAAGGCTGTTTCCTAAAGCAGACAAAATCCCTTACACTCCCACCTACTGCAGGTTTAAGTATCAGAGATTTTTTCTGTTACTGATAATACCAACATTATCATATCTCAAGAACAACCTAATACCTACTGTTATGCATACCTTCAAACATATAGTTTCCAACCAGCACATTTAATCTCCAAGAAGAAAATTTTCATGGCATATGCCAGAAATTCACCCAATTTTCATTTCCAAAGATGCTCATTCTAAAACCAAAAGCTTAAATCTACACAGTAACCCTAAGCATCTAGCACAAGTCAGCCAACATGAACACACCTTAAGCATCCTTCAGGATACAGGATGAGGCAAGGGCTTGAAACAGCAAAGAAAGTAAGGTTAATTGATAGCCTCTCATTCTTCATTTGGAAGGACTAGTAAATACTGGATTGAGGCCAAAATGCAAGAGCATAAGAAAAAAACCATTCACATAGTTTTTAGATTTTTGTTTATTGCCAAAATAGTGATGGAAACAAGTGTGATTTGTTGACAGAACCATTGGCCTTTTTATCATGGCACCTCTAAAAATATATATATTTATAAGTATTTAGATGTTCTGCAATCAACTACTAAAAAAATACATAAACACCCTACAAAACAATAGCAGTGGACAAAAACAGGGATAATTTCCAAACACTTTTATAAAACTTACATAGGATAATCAACAAAAGGAATTTTCACTCAAAGCCAATGTTGAGGATCTTTTTCCTATTTCAAATGAAAATGAGCGATTCTATATAGATTTGCTTTAAAATACATACATGACTGCTTGTTTTAGATATTAGAATTATTAACTCCTTGATTTTAGTGCTTTAGCACATTAAATGACCACAAATTTCCAAGCACCACACTGAATTACTCAAACCATCAAATAAAACCACAGAAATTAGATTTTTGAGAGAAATAAATCAAATCCCCTCTTTTGCATAAAAGATCTATTGTTGGTAGTTTCATGCCTTAAAAAACTTAAATATCATAAAATTACACACAGGGTTACCTTTTAGCTGTTCCACACACCCCATGTGTATATATATATATATATATAAATGTGTATGTAAGTCATGAACAACATACTGCACCTGCTGATTTTCTTCTCTCAGTATAATCGAGTTGTTCACACACGCAAAACCCACCTTTTCAGTAGTGGTTGCACTAGTTTAAAATTTCTATAGCAAACAAGATATAAAATTATCAAAGACATGGAACAGCAATATATTCTGCTCAAAGCAAATACTTTGAACAGAAGTATTTCTAGAAATACTTAGGAGGAATAATGGAAGCCCTGGAGTAATTAGTTTTTACTACCATTCATCTGGATGCCACAGCCAGTGTTAACAACTGACTGTTTAGAAGTTATCAGGTGATATTAGATATGGTGAAGGGGATAGGGAATGAATATTTGAACAGAGCACATTCTTGAAGAGCTAACAAGACTATGAAGGTGGGAATGGTTTAAAAGTTAGTGTGTTTCAGTCACACAAACTAGCAGTTTGCAAGTGGACCACACAGCAGCAAGAACTTAATAACAAACTGAAGTAGGTGCTCAGACACAGAAGTACATCCTGGAAAACTGCCAAAAAAATACAAGTAGCCAAGGCTATTAAGAACTAATTCACTACTCAGCAATTTGGGCCTCTGCATATTTCCTTTCAACATCACACAAGTAGCCACTTAATGTATTTGTAATGATTTTCCTTTGTATAAGTATTCTGTACAGCTCTTCATCTTTAAGATACTTCATACTTTAATGTATGTGCCATTACTAATTAATAATGTTGTGCATTCAACACTGATTAATATATGTATTTGGTAATATGAGTATTCAGGGCCAAATAAAAGTCACTTTGCACATAATTAAAATCTGACATGACAACCCTGCTAGAAATACATTTAGAAATGCATTTGGAACCACACCATGTTTCATTCTGGTAGTTTTGAAGTATTGTGGGAAGTAGACACTAACTGAAAGTACCAGAAAGTATCCAGATGTGACCAGCTGTTATTTTAACAGCTCTCTTCATCAAACTCAGCATGCATATAGTGGCAGTTGATACAAAAAAAAAATGTCCAAATTTATTGGAAGCTCAATATAAATATGAACCTAGACTTTTACAGGATTTATAAACTAAAAACCAGATTTATGGAGTAGTTTTAGAATTGATCAACAGTCAATATAACTAAGAATAAAAAACATAGAAGTCCAACATAGGACTACTATAATGCTGTGATAAACTGTTACATTCCAATTAGCAAGAAATTATTTAATCAACCTTGAAAACAGAAAATCTTCTAGACATGGGGAAATCAGGGTAAAATTACCAGGGCAAGGGAAAAGTGGTATTTCCTTTTGCATAGAATTTTTAACTTGAAGTTATATTAATATTAAATTATATTCTCTGTAAAAAGAGATTGCTAGTTGCTTGGATAGAAAATCAATAATGAATTCCTAGAAATAGAATGCATTTTCGCTTTAGAAGACTGCTACAAAAATTATGAAAATAAGATTCAAGACCAGTAAAAATGAGAAAGAATACAGTAATTCTATGTGGTGTATAATTAACTGCATTTGCAGGAGACAGACTGGAATGTACAGCTAATCTGTTCTATCTGTTTTCATATAAAGAGTAAAAGATTTTAAGAGAATAAACAGATTATTTTTCTCTCCTCTTTGTAAAGTACAACAGAACTTCTGGTTAAGCTACTTTCTTCTAAAAGTAAAGAAGAGCTTAACAAAAATTGAATCAGAACACAAAAACTAAATAAGTGCATGTATTTCCTTTCTAGAAAAACAGGGTGGCAAACCTGCGTGCAATGACTGACCTTGTCCCTGACAGCAGCTGTTGACAGACAAGAACTTTAACGTGCAGCAGATCTGCCCATACTCTGAAAGGACTACAAAAACAACTACAAGGGTAAAGCAGTTTTCTCCATCCTATTAATACTACGTCCAACAAAAGATGAACAAGTGAAACAGAAAATGCTTGTAAAAAAATTAAGTAATTAAGTCATAGAACAAAATAACAAATTGAATGTTCACACTGGGGGGAAAAAGTAGAGCAGCTTAGATCAATTATCAAATCTGAGCAGTGAACCTCAGTATATTTTAAAAAATTAAGGTTCATCATGCCTGTTAAACCATATGTTCCACTGACTGGCACACAAGGTTGTTGTTTTCCCCAGTACACCAGGATTTTGTGACTTCCATTTAGATATTCAAGAACCTTAACACTGACCATAATTCAGTAAGAAAAAACTAAACAAAACCAAACAAACACAAAATAACAAGCATAGGATGGAGAAACAACACTAAGTTTTTCTATACCATTGAACTCCTTCACATCAGAAGTTTTTAAAAAAATGGTAGAGATGCAATCTTCTTCAACAGTAGTAATAAAAACCAAAAGCATTCAAAGTGAAAAAACAATGTTCTTATACATTATTCTGTATGTTTCTATGGCAGTACTATTACTGCTTTGTCAACACAGAAATGCTCCAGAATAAGTAAACTACAGCAGAAAAGCAGGTCTAAGAACTAATTAGAACTATACCTGAATGAGTCTCAAAGAAGAGAGTCTACCTTCTGGATTTCAGCAATGAAACAGTAAAGAAGTGAACATGCATCAGGTATGAACAGAAAAACTAATGATTAATTAACAAAAGGAAGAAATGAAAGACACATGAACAACACTTAGTTACACCAACATGAACTACAATTATCTAAGTATAAACATAAAATAGCCACTTGCAGTTACTAGCAGAACACACACGAAGTCACAGTGGGTTAAAACACACACGTGCCAAACAAAACTAAAAGAGCAGGTTAACATCATCCTATTCACAATTAGGACAACTAACTGGAAACTACATGCTAAGCATGCTAAAAAGTACCTTTTACAAGCTTAAGAGAAACAGGAGCTTTTTTGAGTCACAGCCTACCATGCTGACATTTTGGCCAGAGAAGCTGAATTTGCTTACCTCCTGTAAAAGATCTGCTTGTTCGATGGCTTTAAGAACATTTTTCTTGGAAGTCTCCTGAACTTCCCCTCCTAAAAGGAACTCATCCAGAATGAAATAGGCTTTTTCAAAATTGAAGATGATATCAAGTTCACATACCTAAAAAGAACATCAAGCATTACTGCAAAGTGGGAGGTTGCTCTCACTTAAGGTACATCCTCTCACAAAACTTAACTTTTTCTCAGCTTCACCAAACTTCACCAAATCGTTACCTAAGGCTATAGCCTTGTACAAAATGGGGCAACAATAAAAATCAGTCCTTGGAGGGGAAAAAAAGGAAAAAATGTTTTGCTTGAGTTAGAAACAGTTACAGTAACCTCTGAGAAACACTTCCATCATTGTTAAAACATATTCAATTTACAACCATCTGTATTATGTGGCTCTTCAAGAGGTAAGAGAATATCCCTATAAAAGTTGTCTTCTTGACTGCAGTATCTGAAGGCAGGCCACACAATCTTACAGAAAAATGTGAAAACACAATAATCTCAAATTTTTTACTCATCCTGTGCATTCCCTAGTAAGGACTAGGAAGGCAGAAGAACAAGCAGCAGTTTTTCCTACAAGTGTTAATGTACAGTACTACAGGTTTTATGTGTTTGCTGTTTGGGTAAGCGGATGTCTGTCTCGTCTTTCCTTACCATTCCTGCTACTTCACAACCAGCTGCCTCCTTTGGAAGCAGATGAAAGAAGTGCTCACACACTAGAGAAGTGCCAGGGAGAAGGATAGCTCCCTAAACAGAAAGCTAAGAGTAAGATTTTTATCTGACCTCAAGTGAAATTACTATTAAATGAAATAAATACAGGCAATTAACACCAGATAAATAACAGTTCTTCTCCCAAATCAATAATTTAATTTTGTATTTTAACAGTTATATCAGGCAACCATCAGTTTAGCTTGGCCAAGCAAGCCACATAAAATGTGTTAGATCCACCTTTTCAACAGCTAGTTGGTTATGTTTTATAAAAGTGCTGTGGGCATAAAACAAAATTATAAGATATAAAGAAACTGACTCACACTGCCAAAATACTTGTCAAGAAGTTCTACATAGCGATGAATTATTTCCAGAGTTATTAGTTCGTTGTCCTGATCTTCAATAGCACAGCAGAAATAGAGACTTGCATATCTGTAATAACAAAATAATTCTGATGTGAGCATAGAAGTATGAGCAAAATGAATGCATTTGAGAAGTATCACATTCTCAGCTGCCCTTCATGCTCAGGTTTAGCATATTGCTCCTCTAAATCAACAGCCAAGCAAGTCACAGAATCACAGAATATGCTGAGTTGGAAGGGACCCACAACGCCTGGCCCTGCACAGAACCATCCCCAAGAGTCACACCATGTGCCTGAGAGCATTGTTCAAGTGCTTCTTGAACTCTGTCAGGCTTGGTGCTGTGACCTCTTCTCTGGGAAGCCTGTTCCAGTGACCAACCACCCTCTGGGTGAAAAACCTCTTTCTAATATCCAACCTAAACCTCCTACCAAAGAGTAGCTGAAAGACCAGAAGACATACACATATACAAAAGGGATCTGTCTCCTTGAGTCCAGCATGACTTCAGTCTCCACTGTCCTTTACATGACGGAAATAAATTAGCCAAAGAAGTGGCTGGAAAAGGAAATCTACTTGATTTTCTGGTCTCCCGGTAGAATTCTGAGGCATGATATTTTCTTTACTGTTCTGTAACATCTAAGCACCAGTATATTAATCAACAGATTCAATCTTAAATCTTTATCACACAAGCTACACACAGAAATATTAAAAAACTACAGAAAATGCCTTGAGAAAGACAAATTGAATTAGCCATTAGGATTTGGTCTTTAAAGAGAATTTAACAAATTCAAAAAACTTCAAAAACAACACTAATGTCATATACCCCAATTACTCTTAAACCAACAACTCGATCACTACCAACTGTCCTGGCGTCAGACTAATGAGAGTCCATCAAATAGTTTCAAGCAATCTACTTCCATCTTGGAAGATGGAATTCTTCAGATATGATAGGAGTTCCACTTTAATAAAAAGACCATCCAATTCTACAGTGTTCTACCATACATTTGTTCAAGTCATGTTTAAAAAAAGCTGATAAAAAAAACCAAAACAGGAATGAAAGCTGAAAACCCCATTTAGTCTTTTCTAAAGTGCCCAAACCATATGCTGCTCAGTCATACATGGCACAAACCAGATTTCAAGTACCACCTGTTGTAACTGCTAATTTACATGAATCAGAAACAGCTTTTGTTTGCCTCTTTAGAGGGGACAACTAGCCACATTAAACAGTCTGAGTAGTCAGCCCTAGTGAAAAAGAAGTCATTCCGATGAGAATGCCAAATTTAAGGTGCATAGTTGTTTCCTATACAGAGAAATCAATGCAGCTTTTAAACATTGCAGTATGTTATCAGGCAAGACTTTGTAAACCCCGAAAAAAATTGTCAAGTTTTTGCCTAGAAGTCCTGCAAAAAAATGCTGTATTTTGAGGTATGTTCAAATTCATCTCCCAGACACTAATCCAGTTCCATTTATAGTCCAGAAAGTGTTCCCCCCTCCTCCCCACTCTGCTCTGAGTCAAATTGTCATGGCTTCATCATGAAGAGTAATCAGAGTAACTTTATACAAAAGCTTTTCACTATTATCAGATGTTACTGCCTGTGATTTTTTCCATCCTACCACAAGACATGATGGGAGAAGAGACAAAGACTTCCACTGAAGGACAACATCTTCATTCCCTCACTCCTTCATGTCTTCACCATGGAGACTTGTGAGCTCATGAGAAGTCCTATCTGAGAACAGTTCTTTTCATTTTACTGTTGTGTTTGTTCCTCCCTAACTTTTCAAGGACTACAGTCACTGTAGTAGTTTGCAAGATTCAATCTGTACAAGAAATCAAAACTATTTTAAAGAGTACTAGGAAGTGATACTATACATAAAAAAACATGCTTTCAAACCTACTCAAGAATTCATAAGTCAAACTCCATGTTATCATATTTCACTGTAGAAAAAAAGAGATTTGACACATTATTTGACATTTACACTAATCACCAGCACTCAGGCCAAATCCATCTAAACAAAGCTTTCATCACCTTCAGATGAGCAGCACTGATTATGATGAAGTGCAGTTAAACTGATTCCTTACAAGGCTTAAACACAAGTTAAACCACATACCAGCAGACATTATCAAATCAAATTTGACTCAAATATTTTAAGTTTATCCACAATGAACAGACCTTTTGTGCTTTCTATTACTTAAGAGTCAGTTTGGATGCACAGAACTATTTTATGGAAAAAAAAAATCAAACAAAAGGAGGGGGGTGGGGAGGGAGACTAACATAAAATACTTTCCCAGAAAGTGGCCTGCTCTCAGTGTCCTCATTTAAAAGAGAATGCAACATACTTTCAAAGCCTGTATTTGGCAGCTAGTAAGTAGACTACACATTCAAGCTCTGCCAACTGCAGTTCTGGAGAAATAATACTAAGAAACAAAAACTACTCAGAGGGTATTAACAAAAAATGAAGGTCTGGGTATCTATTATTCTATGCAGATAATATTTTTCCATGTATTTTCTAAGTACCAACCATGACTAATGGATCACTACTCAACAAAAGAAAACAAATGCAGATTTAATAAGTCTACATGGTAACCAGCAGAGAAGTATAAACAAGTCAGCTATCACTGCAAAGAGCATGAGCATACCACAAAGGAATGCTTCAGACCCAAATTCTCAGAGGCAATAGCTTACTGTAATTTTTTTCCCTGCAGGTCAGGGCTTCAGAAAAAAAGTGTCCCTTTACAGTCTAGAGCAGACACCAGAGGTTTTGCCAAGTGTAGAAGTTTACATGGAAAGTATCCACACAAACACGAGCAAATTACTGCACTAGGGCTATAAAAGATTTCTGCTCTGCAGCAGCAGATTCTTCCCAATGAGCCTCACAGAGACCTGTCTTTCATATGCATCCAATGAAAAGTCAAATTCTGATAGTAAAGTGCACACCTACAAGCAAATATAGTGAAGTCTGGAAGAAACATTCTGCCTTTTTTATTTCTATTGCAAATATGGTCTTTTTTTCTCACTAGATACTATTAAAAGAATCTTCAGGCTCAACTCAGCTGCTTACCCTCATTTAGGAAAATATTTTATGATAAATATCCTTCACTTGTCAGAAAGGGAGTGAAAACCAGAGAGACCAAAAGCAGTTGGACAAAATCACAGAACTTTTGGCCTAAAAATGTAATATGGAATCAAAAAAACAAAAAGGTAACACAGCAGGTGTAAGTACTTATACAAATTCCTGCCTTTAGACAGATGGCCTTAGGATTTTTTTTTTTTTGTGATAGTAAACAAATCCATGCATCTCCCTCTTAATAGTTGCAATAGTTCAGTACTGGGAAGCCTCACAACAGGCAGGATCTCCACTACTCTGCTCACAGCCAGGTTCGGTAACTCTGCAGCAAGATCAGGTCTCTGTGAGCAGAGTTTATGCATAAACTGCAAATCCTACCAGCTCAGTGGCATTCTCCTACTAGATGAGACAACACCTGCTTGAAGTCCCTGGAAGTCTGTCACCAGGTAAACTTGCAAACAAGCCGTAAGTCTGTCAGCATCAGTCACTTTGCACGTAGATCCTAACTGTAGAAGTTCAAAGCTTAGAGAGTTTCGCACAAACAGAACCAAACTGTAAATGACAACCAAGGGGCAGACAGGTTGGGCTCAAGGGCGCCCAAGGATTTGTGGTTTGGTGATAGTTGCCCAAATGAAAACTGGGACAACTAATAGGTTGTGCTTGACAAAAGATTTTTTTCTCATCCCAAAAAATGTATGCATTTCTTTAATAAAACAAGAACTTCTGAGACTCCAGGACAGTCTACCAAAGTTGAGTATTTCTTTTATAGTTTCTTATTTCAGCAAGGCTATACACCCCAGCAGTTTTAGAAATGGACAAGAACTTCATACTGATAGTTCTCTAAAAAAAAAAAAGCTGCTGTTTCTTGATGCTGAGTCCTCCTAGTGCCACATGAACAAGAATCCTGTACAAAGAAGACCCGATCTAAATAAAATTATCAAACCCAAGTATCTAACTCACTATAAACTGTGCATTCAGCCAGTTTTACAAAGCTATCTAATCAACTTCATAATAGCAGTTTTAACAGACACAACTGGCAGCTAAGAAAAAGAGGGATCATGCCAACTGCTGGCACATCCCACTGGCCACACGGTTGTACCTTCCAGTCGTAACAGAGTGAAGAGAAAGACTACCTGCACAAGGGGCTCTTCCATTGCTACTTTCAGTGGAGAGAGCGTAGCAAGAAAGTTCTAAAACCCAATCTGTAAGTCTTTAACTATGATCTTGGTTAAGTCATGCTAAAGTAAAAGGCAATTGCCACAACATCAAGGGCAGCAATGACAGTTTTATAATTTCATATTGCAAACACAGTTCCAAACTGACACATAAAAACAAAGCCACAACCCTTAATCAAAAAAACAATCAACAACTAAATCCGATTAGTGCAATTAACCAAATGCTAACAAAGTAAAATTTATATAAAATCAGTTATTCTCTGATATCTGATTTTGACTGCATTATACTACACAATGAAAATAACTCATACTGCCAGATGCTAAAATAGTGAACAGATGAGGTCTTCAAAGAAAAAAAAAATCACATCCTAAGTTCCTTTTTTTTAGTAACATTAGAAATTTTAATATTTAGCACATTTTTTCTGTCACAGAGGGAAAGTTTCTAATTAGATGTCTGTAGATGATTCCCCCCTCTATTTTCATGAAGTGCAATTGTTGTTGGCTTCTCACATTTATTTTATTTTTCCTAGCTAGTCACTTAAAATCTCTCTGATTCTTCAAGTTAGAAGCTCACATCCTTTTTTAATCTTCCAAACCCAGCTACAGAATATGTATAACCCAATTCATGAATCATAACAAAAGCAGGGCACCTTTCTGTCTTGTTTTGTACTGCTAAAGGAAAAAAATTAAGGCAATGACTGAGCCTATGTTGCAAATGTTATCAATGCTCCTGTAGGAAACCAAGCAAAACAAAAGTTACGCCACACACGTTTAGATGGATTTTAAGTTCTGCTTTCTTGAAGATTCATTCAGAAAACATCCCATAAAAATGAGATTCTACAGAGCTAAGGAGACTAATCAAAATAGTCTAGCTGTCTTAATAAATGTTAAGTATCATAAGAAAGCTAAAGCTATAGTCTTGCCAATTCTTCATTTGAGTTCATTGTTCTTGCAAAAAGGTACAATGATGAGACCCTTGAGTATACTTCTAATAAAGCCAACCATTCTTTGAGTAGCAATATCTAGGTCAATTCTCCTACATGTGGAAAATAAATATACTCTAAAAACAAAAACAGCACAAATTTCAGCAATTTAAGACTTTTAACAGCTATATGCACGTGCACCATGTACAATAGCACTGTGTACACACTTTTATAGTGTATACTGATAAACACTTGCACCAGCAGGTTCAGATCCCTCCCAGCAATAGATCAGACATGAGCAGATCTCAGTAGAGATGCTCAGGAGCCTCTTGTCTGTGAGCATTTTGGAGCATCTTTTGCAATTTCACAAAGCACACAGAGTTCCAGTAGGTGCGTTTCTCTTTAAGCCACACACCTTTTCAGCTACAAAAAATAACCCTTTTCAAAGAAATCACACTAGCTAGTACTCATCATCTTTAGTTATGGTGTGGTGATTGGAAGAAGTCCCACACATGTAAAAGCTGTCAGCGTTATCAGACACAGGAATTTAAACCATCACCTCTTATAGCTATTCCTTCTGGTGATGTTTTAGGGGGGAAAAATAGTAAAAGAAAGGCAAGATTTGAGATGTTCATTAGCTTGGTGCAAGCTCATCTTTAGCAATTTCATAGGCTCCCTGTGCCAGACTGGTCTGCAGACAGTGAAATAAGCTACTGCAGTCAGCTGTGCACACCAGCAGTCCAGCAGACAGACTGCAGTCTACATCCAGTCAAAAATGGTCTAAAATACATCTCTCAGCAAATTTCCTCATTCTCCTTGACCACAGGACCCACAGCACACTACTGAGATGCAAGAACACCACAACTTGCAGCAACTCAAACGGTCATACCCACCAGCTCCCTAGACACAAAAGGACATGGCAAGTAGTTGTTAACAGCAATAAAAAGGGGGGGGAAAGCAGTTGTGTGGAATCATCCCCAGAACAGCTACTGCTATTCCAGACTGGGCAAGGAAGGGAACAGACAGCCCTACTCGTGCCTCATTCTTCTGATCTAGTCTAATGGAAGCCCAGCTGGTAAAGCACTTCCAGGCATTATCACTTAAGGAAGTATACCAAGTGTTTGAGCAAGCTGGTCTACATGCATTACAAGAAGTTTTGTGAGGAAAGTGAGAGGCAGAAAAAAAAACTGTCCATGATTTCTTCCAGCACAGCCTCATGCATTGCTCCTCCTCTTTCCTCCTCATGTTAAAGAGCCACACGTAAGCAATATTCACACACATGATGTTACACACACCAATGTCTGTGTGAAGACAGGACTTAAAACATCTAAACATATTTGATTCTACTAATTCCAACTCAGAATATTCTGTGATTCTGTGATTTGTTACACTGGAAAAGTTACAAACTCTTCATTTTGGCTCCAGATCTCTCTGTCCTACCTACAGAGACTACAACAATGTTTATTGTAGGGCACAAATTACCTACCATTTCAAAGGAAAACAAGAATGCATAAACCTTCTGAAGTTTATAACTAACTAGGGAATGAAGATAAGACTTTGTAGCAGCAGTTCTACATGGAAGAGACGCAGCCTAGCACAACAGGAGGTGGATTACTGCTTTGCGGAGAAAATTATGTTCACACCACCACATTTTGATACATTCTAAAGATCAACACAAATATAAAAAATGCATGACACATACTCCTAGAAAGGCTAGGGAACAACTGAAAACTGAAACTACTGCAAAGAAACTGATACAGTTTCTTTCAGTACTTGCACTAAAACACAACTAGCCATGATTCCTTCAATTAGTAGAAATCCCTTTTTGTGTTCATAGCAAAAAAAACCAAAATGAAATTCAAATAAACCAAACTAAGTACTCTGAAAAATTTTCTTATTTTTGTGAGCCTTAAAAAGCAAGTTACATTTTCATGTGATTTATGAAGTCATTGGTTGAGGTGCACATTTATGAAGTTTTTCTTTATCACCTATTACATCTGAAATGCCTATCAATATGAAGCATGTATGGACTGTGTGAACCTAAGCGGAGTAGCAAGAACTGCCACTCCTTATGAAAGTAGAAGGAAAGCTCATTTCTTTTCTTCAGTACATTTCTAAATGCATGAGTGATTTTCCACACATGAATGATTCCTACTTGGTTATCAAATTAGATTCAAGGGAAAAGTCAGTCTTCTCTGTAAACAGCAGAGGGAAGGGAAAAAAAACAACACCAAAACCAAAACACAAACAATCTTCATTATTCTCCTTCTACTTATTACACTGTTTGTGATGAATGGCAATTACGAGGTTAGTGAGACAGAACAACCTTTTGTAGACAATCTTCAGGTCTCTCCATTCGAGGAAGCTGCACATTTTCGGTTTGCGGGCTAATACCGTTTGAACAAGTTCTCTTGTGATTTTCTTCTTTTCTTTGTCAGATAATGGGACATACCACTTCTGGAGTCTCAGTTTCCCCTGGCGACTAAAAAGCAACATAAACTGCATCTGTTGAATTACAAGGAGGAAAGAAAAAAAAAAAAAGCTGCATTAATCTCAGTCTCTGACTTTTAAAAAGATATCTGTGAGAAAAACCAAACAGGAAGGAGGACAGACATCCAAAAACCCTAATTGTATTTCTATAGCACTGGCAGATGTTATACAAGATCTGGAAGTACCAATAATACAAAGGATTCCGCTGAGCAAGGTCAGTCAAGCCAAAGGCAGTATAAAGCGCACACAAGTTTCAGAAGGAGATGTCAGAACCATCGGGTGGCGAGTGAATACACCCAGATTTCAGACAAGCCACGTCCAGCACCGGCATGGTTGCGTTTCCGAAAACGACAGAAAAAACCCAGCACAGCAATCCCTTCAGATACCCAAACTCATTTTCAATTCACCGGATTAGAGCCTTACAGCAGGAGAAATTTGCACTTAAGATCTTTCCGAAAAGCCCCGGAATACTTTAAAAGGCTTTAAACCTCCCAGCGGAGAGTCCTACGGCACAGAAAAGCCCAGTCTTTTCCCACGTTACACAAAAGGAGGAGAGATTAAGTGCTTTCCCTGCGGTCCTATGTTCCAGGTCTCGCTTCCTCCAAAGGAGTGATGTTGCAATTATATTTTAAGAGGAACTTGCCGGGCTGTGTTTTTTCCAGCAGCTGTAACATTAAAGGAGATGGGCTTTTTTGGTCTTTTTTTTTTTTTTTTTGTCCTTTTTTTTTTTTCTTTGCGTTTTTGCTCAAAGTTGTATCGGGCTGGGGAAGTTTCCCAGGCAATGTGACAGATTTGAAAAAGGACGAGAAAGCCCAGCCTGGTCCCGGGTGACAAGTGCGACCAAGCGCCAGCCGCGACGAGCGGCGGCCGCGCCCGCAGCGGCTCCGCGGGGCCGGGGCGGGGGCAGAGCCGCGCAGCCCCCTCAGCCCCACAACATCCCTCCCGCCCCACCCGCCGGCCACAGCACCGCCCCGGCTCCCCACACGCGGAGAGGGAGGCGAGCCCAGCTCCGCGCGGCTTGTGCTCACCGTGCCCGGGGGACAGCGGAGCTGAGGAGGAAGAGGAGGATGAGGCAGCGCTACGCAGAGCGGCTCCGTCTCCGCGGGTGCTGCGGCGGCGGCGCCGAGCGGGACTGAGGGAGGGGACGGCGGGGCACGGGAGGTGCCGCCGGCGCCAGCGCGCGCGCGCCCCAACGGCCGCCTCTCCCCCCGCCCGCGCGGGCAGGGCGGGGGCGGGGCCGCGCTCGCGGGGGGGAGGGGCCGGGAGATGAAGGGGGCGTGGCCCGGGCGCCTCCAAACAAAACTTTATGAGTGGCCGCCCCGGGGGGGCCGAGGGTGGGGCTGTCGCCCAGAGAGTTCGGCCGCCACCCAATCGGAGCGCTCAACGCCGTGACAGGAGGCGGAGCGGAGTGGGTAATGGCCAATGGGAGGGACGAAAACGCGGTGGCGGGCGGGGCCGGGACGGGAGGCGGGGCCAAGGCCCCTAATCTGCGTGGCCCGAATTGGGATAGGCCAGCGGCCCGCGCGGCAACAGCCAACCAGGCGGCGCGGCGCACATAGCGGTCCGCGGGCAGCCAATGGGCGGGCGCGGCGCGGGGCCGGGGCAATGACATCAGTCAATCAGGCGCCCGGAGACCGAGGCCCCCCCCGCGGCCCCCCCGGCCCCCAGCGGGGCGGGGGGAAGGGAAGGAGGGGTGGCCGGGCCGCGCATGCGCCGCGCGGTGTTTGCTTCCAGCACGTGCGCGCCCGGGGGGGCGGGGGCTGAGGGGGCGCGTGCGGGGCGGGGGTGCTGCCTGTGAGGGGACGGCCCTGGGGGGGACGGGCCCTTCGGGGAGACCGGCCCGGGGACGGGAAGGTGTTTGCCCTGAAGTCACCTTGATTGACAACTGTAATTAGATTGGCAGGAGCAGCCGCCGACATAGACTTAGCGGTGTAGCGTTTCGCTAATGCTTTGTTTATGAAATTATCATTCATGTGTATGTACAGAGGCTTTCTGCGCCAAAACAGCCCCGATTTGGGAGTTTGGTTGGCTGGTTGGCCGGTTTCCGGTTCTTGTGGGTTGCTTTGGTGTTAAAATTCTAAGGAAGATGGGGCGGGAACATGTAGTGTTTCCACTGGTGTTAGGTGGAAGAAGGAGCAGTGTCTTTCTAAGCAGAAGATGGAACACCTTATAATAAAAAAACTTTATAATAATATTAATAAAAAAATATAAAGCTCTCAGCATCATCTCTGCTCACACCCCCCCACCACCCCCCAACAGTAAATGATCAGCAGCGCTGACCTGACCGGGCTGATCCGATAATGGTGTGACAAGGACCGGGAAAGGGTCGTGCTCCCTCCGCCGCTCCCACAGGAGCAGCTCCCAGCGCCTCCGGATGTGTCACGCTTTTATTACTTTCTATTATTGACACTTAAAAAAAAAAAAAAAAAAGGCCCATTCTTTTGGCTACGAAACGGCTGTGGCAGCAGAAACCGGCGCTGGAAATGCTTTTGTGTAAAAAATGTGCATGGTCTGAAACGAAAGCAAATTTTCTGGCGTTTCAAGGAATGCTGTAGTCAATTGTACATGAGGAAAAGTGCAAATATATTCCTGATTTTATAGTAGAGGTTATAAATGTAAGAGAAAAGTGACGTGAGGACAAGGGGTGAAACCAAGCTGAATGGATAAGGCAATTGCAGTATTAAAGGTCGTGTAGAAAGTGAGAACTGCTGCTGTAGGGGCTTGTTCCTGTCACATTTAATATTTGTTGAGCAGTCGTCCCATTCGCATCTGAGTCTGCCTTCCACCAAGCTCAGGAATGGATGTGAGTGGATCTGTTACCTCACAGAGTCTCCCCTCTCACCAGGGTGTTACTTTGCCTTCCGTAGTTTCCATGCATTGCAGTTCTGCTTGTTTCCTGTGAGGTCTAAAATATCCTGGGTTTCAGGAAGCTTTCATTAACGATCTCTTTCGTAAGCTGCCCACTATTCTTGAATTCAGCATATCCCGTGATTCTCTATGCATGCACACTACAGGGGCTTTGAGATCTTCTAGCTCATGATTTAAACCAGCAACCAACTTTTATTTCTCTTTATCTGAGCGACTTAGAGTTTATTAGCGTTGTTATGGTAATGAGAGCTCCAAAATTAATTTCTGAATGAGTCGCACCAGACCTGTGTTATGATTTGTCACTTTCCATCTCAGTGAAATATTTCTGCATATGGATCAAACCACACATTCTGCAAGCACAGTTGATTGGAATCAGATGAACTACCTGGATGGTTCAAGAAATGTCTGTGTTTTGGTGGCATAAAGTCTCAAAGCTTCAGTGATTTTTTTTTGTTTTTTAGATCCTGTGTCTTTGTTTCATTTTTTGATCAGATTTTACTGCTCATTTCAGTGCATGGATTCATGCAGTGATACAAGGACAATTGTTCCACTAGTTTTCTCCCTCCTTTCTGTTACTTGGCTAGATTTCTTCAGACTGTAACCTGGAGTTTCTTCATTAAATCTCCTGGGCAGAATCACTCTGCTATATGCAGTTTCAAGTGGAATGATAAGGCATGTGAGACCAGTGGTATGTCCGGTGTGCTGGAAACTGTGTCTAGTCAGATCCAACTTAGAGGAAGCTTTCTATCTTCCTCAGCCTGTCCTGTCTTCTTATCCCTGCTTCACATAGAGGGTTCAATGTTCTCAAGCCTGCCCAGATCGCCACCCATGTACTTTCTTAACTCATTTCCCTCAAAATGATCTGGCTTATTTTAAGCAGTTGAAGGTGTGATTCCGTGTCAGTTTCAGATGATCTAAATCCCGAGTTCTCCCACCCACTCATCCCATTCCCAGTTCCATTTTCCCATCTCCTTTCCTGTGCTGGCACTTTGCTGCAGCTCACATTGCCCTCAAGGCTGGTTTCATCTATACAGGTGACTGAGGCAGTCGACTTCAGGACTGAGGACCTGTGTTGTGAGGCAGTGACAGAGGTAATGATGTCTCTTCTGTTTGTCCTGTTTCTTTCAGGAACTTCAGAAGACTTACTGTTTGCATTTTTTTCAGTGTTGCAATTTGTACCAATTGTCCCTCTTTACACTGACTCCATCGTTTGTTCCTGTAAGAAATTATTGTGTTGCTTACCCATTGAACTAGCAATGCACTGAACTATCTGTATTTATCAAATTGATAAAGAGATATACGATGCTTAAAACAATAATATAATAGGCTTTGAGTATTCCACAAACCCGTGACAATGCAGATGTCAATGTAGTCTAATTTTAGACATGACACAGTGAGTCTTCTGTTCATTAGTTTTTGTTCATTGTCTTATATCTAGCTTGATGATAACCCCCTGGTTTATTTTGGATTTTTTTTTTTAGCTGCTATTGTTGTGGAATCCTTGGTATTCCATTTTAGATGTAAGGCAAGTCTTCAGGGGATATATTCATTGACCATAAAACATTTGGGGTCCTCAGCCAAGACTTTGCTTTTTAAATTATTTCCAGAATTACTTCAGACACAGAAGAGAACTGCCTGGATCTGGGCAGAGAGGTAGGAAGGAAGCTTACGTCAAATAAGATTAAATTTTCTTGTGGTGACTGGTATGGTTTATGTCAAATTTTGAGGGTTTGTTTGTTTGTTTGTTTTTAATTAATTAGACTATAGTTGATTTGTCTGGAAAACTGGATCCTATACAAAAATTATTAAGGCAGACATCCTGGCATTTGGCACTTCATGTGTGTTGTTATTGCCAAATCTGAAGCTCATGGAAGAATTTTGTTGTGATTTCACTGTTAGCCAAATTGATTGGTAAACCAAAAGACCTTTATAACATGAACTAGTCATTAATTCCAACGGACAATTTGCTTACTGAATTTTAACAGCTTTTTTCTTTCTTCACACAGTATTTAGTAAAGAAAGGGTTTGTTCCTGCCTCCCTTTCAGCCATCTTAGCACCTTAAAGAGGAGGGCAACATGCTTTAAGAGTGCATGCTGTGTCTTTGCAGTCCACCACTGACGTAGGTGGATGTGTGAGTAAGACTCATTTTGTTTGTTAATTTATCTTCTTGGTGCTCAATATCAGACTCCATTTGCATTGACTGAATAACTGTGGAGTCGTTATGAAGGCTATACAAACTGTGTTACTACCCTTGGAAGTGATTACTGATGAATTTTTGCCTCTTAAGCCTCCAAACAGGATATTACATTATTATATGCAATTCTCTTCCCTGATGTACTGTCTGAGTATTGGCCAAACCATCAGTGTACCACTGTGATTCATGCAGAACACTAAGCTCAATGGAGACAAAGTATGTATACATAAGACTGTAAATGATTTTCATTGCTATACCCCCTTTTTTTTTAACATGGAGCTCTCACTCTTGATGAAATACTATTAAGTGCAATGTAGCAGCCTGATTGCTAGATGCTATTAAATCATCAGATCATGGCTGGTGTCCTTACTCGCCTGTCTTTTCTGCATAGGGTTACAGGTGTACCTGTTGGAGACTTGGAGACATTGGAATTCTTTTGAATAAGATTGGTTTCCCACAGACACATATGGTCTCAGGAATATGGATGTCAGGCCACATGTGTGATAGGCAGAACTACAGAATGAGCATCACAGATGTTCATCCTTGAAGTTGAATTTTCAGAGCTAGAGGAATAGTTTGAAACTGAAGTGTGGTCTTCCAGCCTGGTTATGAGAATTACAGAGTCTAAACCATGCCTTACATGTGTTGTTTGCTTTGGAAAATAAAAACCTGCTTTTGAAAGTATATGGATGTGCAGAAATGAGGAGTGTGTTAGATGCCACTCCGTGAGGGCTTCCTCTTAGTTACCATGTTTATTAACCTGAGCCTGGTGCAAGGCACAGCAGCCATTTGGATAAGACACACACAAGCCAGCTGTTAGCACGGGGTGTGTTGGGCTAGTGAGCAGCAGATTTCCCTCTTACTTAGGTCATGTTCTTATCTTTTGCTTGTCCATGTTTATGTTGGAGTAGTGCTCAGAGGTCCCAGAACTGAAGAAAATAACTGCACTGCAGACATTTATGAAGAAGTTGTTATGACTGCTAATGCTTCTTCCTGCTCCACTCTTACAAACTCTGCCATAGTGCAGCAAAGAACCAAATGGTTTCCAAAAGAAGTGTGTGAGGAACTTTTTAACCTCACAAGGAAGTGGCTGGGAGGAAAAGAGAGGAGGCTGGGATTT